TGGGTTGTAAAGGCCCTCGAAGTCCGATCCCAACCTTTCCTTCATATTTCACGGAGGCATAAACTTATCTACCTCCGGGGGGCATAAACTTATCTACCTCCCCTATCTTTAGTAGGTGGCATAAACTTTTCTACCTCCCTGTAATGTGGGTCTATCTTGCCCGGGGGTGTTCTCCCCCCCCTTTTTTTTAAAGAAATCTACAGAACAATGGAATTGCAAAGACACCTGGCTTTAGAGGAAAGAAATTCTTTATTGTTGAAACAAATGAGAATGCCTTAAACGAAAAAGTAGAGTGCCTTACAAAACAATTTTACTGATAAAATTTTACCAAGTGCTCTACATTCCACGTCCTATCTATTTCTTTTCCCTTTGGAGTCATCAACTTGTAGGTACCTGGGCGAACCACGACCTTGATGATATAAGGTCCTTCATACTTTTTGGCCAACTTTCCTCCCTTAGCTGGTTGACTATTTTCTCGCTTTCTTAGGACGTAATCCCCCAGCTGGAATGCCCTCAGTTTCACTTTACTATCAAAGTAAGATTTCAATTGGCGACGGTAATTCTCTGCCTGGATTCGTGCTTCATCCCTTCGTTCCTCTAAGAAGTTCAGCTCGATGGCTTGATTTTGTTCGTTCACTTCCGGGTCATATGTCATTTCCCTCCTGGTTGGGATCACCGAACTAATGGGCGTGTAATTTGTGGCTGGCCTCCCGGGTATATTCTAAAACTGTTGATAAGTTGGACACTTGCGCTCATACTCCTCACAATCCTTCCTCATCGTTGGCCAGAAATATCCCTGGATTATCGCCTTTATGGAGATAGAGTATGGGCCCTGATGTGCCGCACATACTCCTTCATGTATCTCTTCCATAAGTGCTCTCGCTTCGACCGCTCTAAGACAGCGGAGTAAAACACCGTTGTAGGACCGCTTATAAAGGATTCCCTCCTGCACTTTGTAGGTGGGTGCTCTCATTCTCAACAACCAGGCTTCTTGGGGATCTTCCGGGGCTACCCCGTCCTCAATGTATCTAGCCAACCTATCTAACCACTCCGGGGGGTCGACTGATACCCAAAGCACTTCATCCCTGTTGAGACTCGGGGTTGCCAACTCCTCCACAGTTGCTAACTTGCTTACATATTCCGGCGATTCAGCGCTAAGCTTGGACAAAACATCAGCTTCCGCGTTGTGCGCTCTGGGTATGTGCTCTAGCTTATACTCGAATCTTCCCAACATTTCCAAGGACAAGTATCGGTATCTCTTCATCCTCTCTCCCTTCGCTTCGAACTCCCCACTGATTTGTCCCACAACCAAGCGGGAGTCACTGTATCCTTGGACCCTGGACACCCCCAGCTTGCCGAGAATCTTCAGTCCATTAATTAGGGCCTCATATTTGGCTTCATTGTTGGACACGCGGAACTGAAATCTGACAGCGTAATATATCCGGAAACTTTCCGGAGTGATCAAGACAATACCTGCTCCACAGGATCGGGACCCGGAAGACCGTCGATGCTCATCACCCACCAGTCATCTTCTACCCGGGTGTCCACCCGGGCTCTTGTCATCTCCCTGGCCGTACACTCAACCTGAAAGTCGGCGAGTGCCTGCCCTTTGATTTATGGACGCGGCCTGAACTCCACATTGTACTGACTGATGAAGACCGCCTACTTGGTCATTCGGGCGGATGCCGCTAGGCATCGAGTAAGTGACGCCAAGGGCTCATTGGTGAGTACCACAATTCGGTGAGCTTGAAAGTATGGGGTTAATCTCTTTGTCGTCTAGAAGACCGCTAACATGGCTTTTTCTGGGCGGGAATACCTCAGCTCCACATCTCTCAAGGTCTTACTGACATAATAGACCGGATGCTGGGCCCCGTTCTCTTCTCTTACAATCATAGTACTGATGGCGCAGTCTGCAATTGCTAAGTATAACGTCAGGACATCCCCGGGTTCCGGCTTGGATAGAACCGGAGGGCTCGCTAGATATTTCTTCAATTCTTCGAATGCCGCTTGACATTCTTACGTCCACTCAAAGGTCGCCCTCTTCTTGAATACAGTAAAGAACGGGTGCGCCTTCTCTGCCAACTTCGAAAGGAAACGATTCAAGGCCGCCAACCTCCCCGTCAACCGCTGGACCTCTTTTGATGTCTTTGGTGGTTCCATCTCCATGATGGCCCTTACCTTTTCCGGGTTAGCCTCAATCCCTCTTGGGCTAACCATGTGCCCCAGGAATTTTCCACCCTGGACAGCAAAAGTACACTTCTTCGGGTTCAATCTTAAGTTTACCTTCATCATGATTTCAAAGACCTCCTCAAGGTCTCGAACGTGGTTTTGGGCCTCTCTGGACTTGACAATCATATCATCAACATAAGCTTCCATGGTTCGCCCCAACACAGCTTTGAACACCTGAGAAACAATCCGGGTGTATGTTGCCCCGGAATTTCTCAGTGCGAATTCCATTACCAAGTAACAGTACAGGCCCTCAGAGGTCATAAAACTTGTCTTCTCAACATCAGCCGGGTGCATTTGAATCTGATGGTAGCCACTGAAGGCGTCCATGAAACTCATAAATTCTGATCCGGCAGTCTCATCCACCATGTGGTCAATATTGGGGAGAGGAAACGGATCCATCGGACATGCTTTGTTCCGGTCTGTGTAGTCGACGCACATTCTCCACGAAGGAGGCTTAGGCGCCAAGACTACGTTTGCAAACCAATCCGGGTAATGCACCTCCCGGATGTGTCCAATACTCTGCAAGGTCGTCACCTCCTTCTTCACGAAGTCTCTCCATTCTTGCGACAAATGCCTCCGCTTCTGCTTCACCGGTTTGGCATCCTGCAAAACATTGAGATGATGAACTGCAATCTTGTGATCTAACCCCGGCATATCAGTTGGACTCCATGCAAAGACCTTCCTGAATCTCCTAAGAACAGAGATTACTCGTGACCTGAGTTCAGTCCCCAGGCTCTTTCCAATTCTAACCAACCTTCCCGGCATGCCTGGCTCCAGTTCCACCTCCTCTACATCACCTGCAACTTCAACTCTGGGTCGTCTTTCTTCGGCTCTTAAGAGCTGTGCGGTCACCTCCCCCACCTGGGTGTCGTATCTGATAGGTTGTTTAGTTGCCTTCAAATACCACGCCCAAGTGATGCGGTGAGATGACACACTCCAAATCTTCTAATCCGTGTCTTCCCAGAATGACATTGGTGTTGGAGATTATTCCCACTACAACGAACTCCATGTCCAATTTCCGGGTGGCCTTAGTATCTCCTACCTCGACCGGTAGGGTTATCACCCCATCCGGTTCGATAGAGTCACTTGTGAACCCGGTCAGAGGAGTCTTGATGGGTAATAACTCGTCTCTCGTCAAACCAAGAGCCTTGTAGGTATCCATATACATGATGTTAACGGAACTTCCCGTATCCACCAAAGTCTTGTGGATCAGCAAGTCCATTATATCGATTATAATCACCAGAGCGTCCCTATGGGGGACCCCCGTTACTGGTAAATCAGCATTAGAAAATACAATCGGCTCAATTTTCAGCTTCTTACCTTCCGGTTGGGCAGGGGCCGCCACCTTATTGACCATCGCCGCACTAGCCCACTTTTTCCGACTTGTGGCCGAATCTCCACCAATGTTCCTACCAATGATGTAATTACACCCATGGTGCCTCTTCTATCGGTGTGGCGTGGGTTCTGAATCTTCCTCTTCGTCCTCAAGTCCAATGTGGCGTTTCTCCCGGGTCTCGGCCTGGGCCACCTGCCCTTCTCTACGCTTCCCATTCTGAGCCACCTGCCCTTCTTGTTGCCCACCTTCTCTTCTTCCTTGGGAGTCTTCTCTTTCTTCTCCTCCTTCCTCTCCTCCAGAGTCACATACCTTCCAGCCCGAACCATTGCTTCTTCAAAGGTATCCGGGGGATGAGTTGTGAGATCGGTAAGAAGGAGACCATCTTGCAGTGCCACCATGAACATGGCTAACCTGGATTTATCGTCGGTTCCTTCAACTTCCCTTGATTCTTTTCTCCATCTGACGAGGAAGTTCTTCAGGGACTCCTCGTGCTTCTGTCACACTGAGGCCAAGTGGGTAAAATGCTTTTTGGGACGGCAGTTCCCTGCAAAATGCTCTAGGAACCGCAATCCCAACACATCCCAAGTCCGGATCTGTAACACCCCAATCCGTCCAGGTCTGCAGCCCCTTTCGGACTAAAGTATAAACTTGGTATTCGTAAATATTCAAAAGATTTCAAGCATTTTAAAACTTTATTTCATAATAAATTATTCAGAATAATAACAGAGTAGTTAATGTTGCGAAGCTGAATAAATAACAATTACAAAACACAATAATATTATGTCTTTTGAAACTTTAATTCAATTTACACATCCACTTTGACCATCTCGCTCTGTCTGACGCCAGGATTCCATCACATCATTCTTTTTGTTTACCTGCGTGTAGCAAATAAAACATACTACACGCTCAGCGTTGAAGCTGAGTAAGCATATCTAATGCATCGAACATCCATATAAATTGAATCTCAATTCATAATTAACCATTTGATATCATGCACACAATACATATTTCAAACTTACATTATTCATGATATTCATAATATTTTATTTTAAGTCATTTCATGATATATTCAATATTCAAAATATTTCATCAGTGCTCTTAAATTATTCTTAATCTAAAGCCAAATCATTTTTATACAAGCTCTTAGCTATTCCTAGTCTAAGGCAATATTTCTAACCAGGCCCTTAAACTATAAATAGTTTAATGCAGAACACAAGAATCGATAATCCACCCTATGAGTCACGTGGATTACGTACCAACCGAACAGTGATCTGTCGGGTGGGTGATATCCGGTCTGGATCCCGTACGTACGTTTTAACCCCGAATT